GGGGCTGTGTCCAGATCTTAGCTATTGTGAATTGGGCTTCTATGGACATGGGAGTGTATATGTTCTTTCTAGTTGCTGTTTCAGGGTTCTTAGGGTATATTGCAGGTGTGGGATCACCAGGCCAAGTGGCAATTCCATTTTTAATTATTTGAGGAAACTCCACACCTTTTTCAATAATGGCTTCACCAGTCTGCATTCCCACCAGCAGTGCACAAGGGTTCCTTTTCTCCACATCCTCACCAACAATTGTCATTTGTTGATTTGTTGACAATTCTCACAGGTGAGGTGATACCTCATTGTGTTTTATTTTCTGTCTCTCTGGTGATCAGTGACTGCACCAATTTTATTGATTACTATAGGCTTCCAGCTCTTTCCTTTTCATCTCTTTCTTTCCATCCATTTGCATTGAACTGATTTCCTCCTATGAACCATGCAGGTGCCCGTGAGGAGGTCCCAGGTGGCCCTGGCCTGACTACATACTCTCCCCCAGTCTTGCTGTTCCTTGCCGTAGCAAGTCCACTCTTCCCTAGCATGGCCAGCTCTTCCACAGAAGTGAAGATCTGCGACTCTTGACTAGTTCCTTCAGCTTCCAGGGATGTGAGCAGCTGGGCCTCCTCAGGGCATTAGGCTGACTTCCCTGAGTTGTCCGGCAGCTGGATTTCCTGCTCATTGAACCCAGTAAGGCAGTGGTTCTCAACCTTGGCTGCACATGAGAATCACCTGGGAATCTTTTCAAAATCCTGATTTCTGGGCCTCATCCTCCAGAAATTCTGTTTCTTTGTTACTAATATTATGGCCCCACTCCATAACAAAGAAACAGAATTTACGGAGGATGAGACCCTGTCTCCAGGATGATTTCACAAACTTCCAATCCAGACACAAACTCCTACGTGTCCTCATCAGTTTCCAGGAAGATGTCATCCTCTTCAGCTTTTTCTGCAGGGGATCGAAGCCACCTTTTCCTTTTAGCGGGTGGCACAAGGCTGGAGGCCAGGACATGGGCATAAGTACTTGCTCTAATGTGCCCTTTACCAAGCACATGGCACCTGCAGACTCATCTCCATGAGCTTCGCATTAGGACCAACACCACTCAGCTCCCAAACGCTTCCACAGGCAGCCACGGGCAGCTTCGAGATGAGCGACGCTGGTTTCCCTTTAGCACAGACAGAAATCCATATATGGGGCTCAAAATAATAAAAAATGGCAGCATGTCTGGCCTTGTCTTTGGATTTTACAGCCCACGAACCCCGATGCAGAGGTCCCGCTGTCCAGCAAGGCACTAAGGGTGTGGTGAAGTCTTGGTGGAGTAACAGCCAGATTCAAGTTCCTCAAAGACAGCTGCAATGCATTCTGGTACAAGCACAAGACACAGAGCAATGAACAATTCCCATTTGCTCAGGACACCTTTGCCTTCTGGGTCAGCGAAATCCCAAACCTTTCCCAGTGTCAGATCTGGGAGCCTGACATGTTCAGGAAAGCAGCAGCATCAGCAGCCAGTACCCTCAGGGATGGGCCGCACCATCTTGTCTGCAGCGTTTTCCACATGAATGGGTCCCACTTGATGACTATGTCAGGGAGAGATGGGCTAACACAGCCATGGTGCCCCATCCTGCAGGGAAGGGGAAGGAAGGACAGGCACGTAGGGGTGGGGCATGGAGGAAGGGGAGGGTGGATGCTGTTGCAAGAAAGGAGAGTGACCAGGGGCTGGGATAGGAAGAGAAACACACTCTGGGGCCAGAGGCGGAGACCCGTTTCTTCCCCTTATTTTCATTGCCACAAGGACACCGCCCTGAGCTGGGCAGTTGGAGGGTGAGGATGTCCCTGCTGATCTGAGCTCTGCAGGCCACAGGGACCTATGTCTTCTTGAAGCGTCTCCAGGGCCCCGGTGGCACTGTCCATGGTGAGGACCACAGGGAGGTGCTGATGGACAGGCTGAGGAGGAAGGAGACCCCGAGGGGGTCTGACAGGGTCACCTACCTGCAAAGGCGTCTCAGGAGACCCCAGGTCTATTTCCTGATCCATCATGGAAATGAGAGCCGAACATCTGGGAGACACTGTTCCCCTTCCTGTGGGGCTGCTGAGGTGACAGCCCTGAGGCACCAATGGCCAGCCTCCCGGTGCCACACTCTGTATCTCTCCATCCTGATGGCACCTTGGTCTCCCCCATCAACAGCCAGAACAAGACAAGAGACACCATGACCCCCATCCTCAGGGCCACGCTCTGCCCTGGTGCGATGTGAGGATTTATTTTCCAAGAGAGCCTCTGGGATAAATAGAAAATCTGAAGCCTTGTGGAACCAGTCAAAATGTCATCTGAAAAGTGAAATCATCGCACACAATTAACTCCAGGCCCACCCAGTACGCAGCCAGGTCTTCCGAACAATCCCGGGACATTGGACACTGGTGTCGTAGACACTGTGACAGAGCTAACGCATTTAGAGAGGTGAGACAAACATCTGAGAGGGTTGTTTCTAGCCAAAATGCACACTTAGGGTTTCAACCTATAATTAGATGCAGAAAACTTTTGAAACTGGAAGAAGAGCCTGGCCACAATGGCTCAGAGGTTGGGTTTCAACCTATGAACCAGGAGGTCGTGGTTCAATTCCCAGGCAGAGCACGTGCTTGGTTGCGGGCTTGATCCCCACTGTGGGGCGTGCAGGAAGCAGCCAGTCAGTGATTCTCTCTCATCATTGATGTTTCTCTTTCTTCCTCCCATTTCCTCGCTGAAATCAATAAAGATTTTTTTTTCAAACTTGTTGGGGGGAAAAAGGAAGAAGAAAAATATGAGTGGCACTCCCGCCGCTGGCCGTTGGGGCCGCTGTGAGCAGGACTGCTATGAGCACAAATATGTGTGGAAGCTGTGGTTCAGACCAGCTCTGCTGGTTGCAGGCAGGGTCTTTGGGGGTCGGGGAGAAACAGAGGGAGCTCACAGCTGTCCTTAAACCTGAAGTTGTGTGTGTGCACGAGATGAAACGGAACTCTGTCTGGACAAGAGATGTGCTCCGTGTACAAAGCAAACAGCAGCACAGTGACTCCTGGTGGCAAAGCGCACAAATCCACAGCCACCTGGGGAGATGGGACCTGTGCTCATGGGGAAAGAGGAGGATTCCTGCCAAATTCAGGAGCAATCAGCCTGCTAAGACCATTGGGCCCTGAATCCGTGTAATCCTATAACCATCCAGGATTTAAACACATTGAAAAGTAAATAAATTACAGTGGCTGTTCTCTTGTAAAAAATAAAATAAAGTAAAAAGAGGAAGAAAATACCTGATTAAGACATTACTGCTCAGTTCACACAGGTACCAGGTGGGACACAAATATTTTAAAAAAGGGGGTTTTCTCAATAAATCAAAGTTCTACACCAAATCAGGGCTTCTTAATGTCTAGGACAAGCAATGGTCCCAGTGACAGAGCACTGCCGCAGGAGCAAGGGGCCCTGAGGGGCAAGATGACCCTGAAGCATGTTCCCAGGAAGGAGGGGTTGAGGGTGTGGTTGAGAAAAAGGGAAGTTTATGAAGAAACATTTGATAGAAAGAAAACCCAGATTCTGCGGCCACAGAAGAGACCTTTTCCTTCCCTTATTTCCCGGCATTTCCCTCTGTGCTCATTGTCACAGGGACATCGCCCTGCACTGCACAGTTGGATGGTGAGCATGTCCCTGCTGATCTGAGCTCTGCAGGCCACAGGGACCCACGTCTTCCTGAAGCATCTCCAGGCCCGGGTGACACTGTCCATGGTGAGGACCCCAGGAAGGTGCTGATGGACGGGCTGAGGAGGAAGGAGACCCCGTCGGGGAGGCTCTGACAGGGAAGAACATGCCCTGGGTCACCTCACCTGCAAGGGGCATCTCAGGAGGCTGCGGGTCTATTTCCTGCTTCACCATTGAAATGAGAACCAGGCTGCTAACGTCAGAGCCCCGTGACAGGGAGGATCAGCCTCGAAGTGACCACCACCCTTGCATCTGTCCCTCTATCCTTCTAGCACCGTGGCCTCCTCCATCTGCTCAGCTGAGGCCACAGGGAGAAAACGCCATGACGCCCACCCTCAGGGCCCTGCTCTGCCTCGGTGAGATGGGAAGGGGAGGGGAGCCCTGGTCTGTCAGGACCCCAGGACTCAGGAGGCTCATGGGGAGGAAGGTGCTGGTCAGGGTTCAGGGCTAATCTCTCACAGGGACTCTCTGAGCCCCGTGACCATTTGGTGTCAGGGGACCCCAGGGGCTGAGGAGTATCAGCTGGAGAAAGAGGGAAGCCCACCATCATCCAAAAGACAGGAACCACAGGATCCCAGGGATAAGGCCAAGTTCTCCATCACATACATGGCAGAGCGAGATGCTGGGATATATCACTGTTACTACCACAGCCCCACTAACTTGTCACAGCGCAGTGACCCCCTGGAGCTGGTGGTGACAGGTGAGAGGACACTCAGGTGTCCCAGGATCAGGCTCTGCCCTCTTACAGCCCAGCCCTGGGGGACATGAGGGAGGTGTAAGCCCCATTTAACATGCTGCCTCCTCCTCTCCTAGGAGCCTACAGCAAACCCAGACTCTCAGCCCTGCCCGGCCCTGTCATGACTTCAGGACAGAACGTGACCCTCCAGTGTGGCTCAGGGCAGGGATTTGACAGGTTCATTTTGACTAAGGAAGGAGATCACAGGCTCTCCTGGACCCAGGACTCACAGACACATCCTAGTGGGTGGTCCCAGGCCCCCTTCCCTGTGGGTCCTGTGACCCCCAGCCACAGGGGGACCTTCAGATGCTATGGCTGTTACAGGAACAGGCCCCAGGTGTGCTCACACCCCAGTGATGCCCTGGAGCTCCTGGTCTCAGGTGAGGGCCCCTGACCCTCTCTGCTGAGCTGTCAGCTCAGGGTCCTGTCCCCAGAAGGATTATGGGATGAAAGGGAGTGAGGGGTTGTAGGGATGGTCACACAGAGGAGATCTGCACCTCAGACACCCACTCTCCCTTTCACACTCCTCCCCTCATGTGTTCCATAAGGTGCCTGGTGGGTGGTGGGAGGGACTTAGTGAGGACTCTGTGAGGCGGGACTTCATGGTCAGCCCCAGACTCTCACCTTCTTCCTGTCCTACCCAGATGCCTGGGACCCAGCCCACCTCCGTCAGGGTCCCATTTGCTCAAAGGGAGACAGCTCCCCTGGGCAGTTCTGAGACTGAGAACCTAATGCCACCCATGCACTACAAGCAGGCTGTGTCCTAAGGCTGCTAGGGGTTGGGGACAGATTTCAGAGAACAATGGGTACCAGGCGTCTGGGGATCAGTCTTCTCCACCCAGGGAGTCAGGAACACAGAGGGGAAGTGGGGAGTCTCTGTTGAGAGGTTGTGGATGCCTCCATGGGGACAGGGGCTAAGCCATGTGATGGTTCTGCATCCTCTGAAGTCCCTCACTTGGACACACCCTTCCCCTGCCTGGGCCTCAGTGTCTCCAGGTGTAAAAGGAGAGAATCCTTGTCCAGAGCTTAGATTTCCTGTCAGTTCTGGCCCTAACCTTCTGGGAGGGGGGCCTCACAGGGAAGCCCCCAGGATGTAATGTTATGGGGCCTGTCCCCTCTGTCTCACTGACAGTGACATGGTACAGGGAGGGACAGGCAGGACAAGAGTCTGAGCACCCAGTCCTACCCCTCAGTTCAGGCCCAGCTCAGGGAAGGGAACAGGGTGGATCAGCCCTGGATCCCTCCTGGCTCTGCTATTCCTG